AGAGAATCATTGATTGGCTGCCTCCTGCATGTCCCCTACCGGGGATTGAGCCCGCAACCCAGGCATGTGCCCTTGGCCGGAATCGAACCTGGGACCCTTCAGTCCGCGCAGGCTGATGCTCTATCCATTGCCTGTGCAGTGGATAGGGCACAAGTGATCAATTCTTATGAAGGAAGTCCCGTAAGTGTGTGGCATAGATACTGTTTAAATGAGCCTGCAGACCTGTGCTGTCCAATATGATAGCCACAGCCAGTGGGGTTGTGGAATACACTTGAAATGCACCTAGTCTGACATGTGCTATACGTGTGAAACACAGGTGGAATGTTTCTTATTTTAAACTTTTTATTACTATGCACTGGATTTTGAAGACATGAGAAAAGAATGCAAAATATCTATCTCATTTTGATAACTTGTTTTAAATAGGTAGCATATTGAAGTGATAAAACTTTTGGGTATATCGAGTTAAAATAATATTAAAATTTAACCTTTTAATTTTTACTTTTTAGTGTGGTTACTAGAAAATTACAGATTGAAATTACATACGGTTCTGTTGGACAGCACTGTTTAGATGGTGCTTTGTGCAGACTTGTCCATGGGACAAGGACCATTGTTCTAGAGGTTTTGAAAAATTGTCACAGTACTTTCATATTTTAAAAATTGATTTTAGCCGAAACCGGTTTGGCTCAGTGGATAGAGCGTCGGCCTGCGGACTGAAGGGTCCCAGGTTTGATTCCGGTCAAGGGCATGTACCTTGGTTGCGGGCACATCCCCGGTGGGAGATGTGCAGGAGGCAGCTGATCGATGTTTCTCTCTCATCGATGTTTCTAACTCTCTATCTCTCTCCCTTCCTCTCTGTAAAAAATCAATAAAATATATTTTAAAAAAATAAAATAAAATAAAAATTGATTTTAGATGGAGAGAGGAAGGGGGAGAAGAAACATCGACTGGCTGTTCTACCTATTCATGTTCATTGGTTGCTTCATTTTTTAATATATTTTTTCTCAGAATGCTTCATGAATGCGTGTATATATATACATACATACACATACACACAGGATAGATTAGGGGGTTGTAGGAGTGCTTCTGTAAGGAAATTGGTACACACACACATGTTTTTTAATCTTTAGAGAGAGAAACATTGATCAGCTGCCTCCTGCATGCTTTCTACGGGGGATCCAGCCCACAACCCGGGCATGTGCCCCAACGGAATTGAACCAGCAACTTCTTAATTCATGGTTCGAAGTTCAATAACAGCCACACAGGCCGGGCTATTGGTTGCTTCTTGTATGTTCCCTGACTGGGGATTGCACCTACAACCTTGGCATGTTTGGGGTTCTGCTTAACAAATTGAGCTACCTGGCCAGGGCTTTAAATTTTTTTTTAATTGGTTTTATTGGGATGACATTAGTTAGTAAAATTTCATAGGTTTCAGGGGTACAGTTCTATAATACATCATCTGTATATTGTACTGTATGTTCACCACCCAAGTCAAGCCTCCTTCCATCCACAATTATCCCCTCTTTTCCCCTTTCTCCCCTCCCCCCTTTCCCTCTGGTACTATTGTCTATGAGGTTTTGTCTTTTTTTTTCTTAATCCCTTCACCCTTTTCACCCAGTCCCCCTCCACCCTCCCCTGTGACAGCTGTCAGTCTGTTCTCTGTATCTAAGAGTCTGTTTCTGTTTTGTTTGTTAGCGTATTTTGATAATACTTCAATATGAATTGAAATGCTAAGGAACCCCTTCCCTCATAACCCCGGCATATTTACCTCCACTCTTGCCTCTGTGTAGACCGCTCAGGTCCTTGTCTCTTTTTTTGTTGTGTCACTCATGTATTTTACTTCAATAGGATGTGGAATCCTACATTCATCGATCTGGGCGAACAGGTAGAGCTGGAAGGACTGGGATTTGCATCTGCTTTTATCAGCACAAGGAAGAATATCAGTTAGCGCAAGTGGAGCAAAAAGCGGTAAAACTGTTTTCTTAGCCTTATTCAACAAATGTGGAGTTGTAAAGTCGGCCTTTGGTTTCTTTACCCAGTTTTTATTAACTTGAAATTAGTTGTATTTCCAGTGTGTGGCCATGACTCAGAGTTTGTTAGATACATATTTTATACATTGTCCTACAATATAAGGCCCGTTTTGAAATAACTTGGCATTTGAAAGCAGTGGTTTTGTTTTCATATTTAATAATTATAATGGGTGTTTTATGTTAGAAAGGCAGCTTTCCTACCATGAGAACACATCAGAAATATTTAAGGCTAGATTAGGGGGTTGTAGGAGTGCTTCTGTACGGAAATTGGTACTTCCTCCTCCAGGGTGGGCTGCTCTTAGTGACTCGCTTACAAAGAAAATGGTAGGGGTGGTGGGGCAGGGGGCACTGACAGTGCCGAAAGCAGGCAAATGCTGCCTGGCAGTTGATCATGGTTGACAGATAAGCATGTACCCCTGATCCAATGTGATGAGGCAGCTTTCACCTCTGGTCTTCTTTCCCAAAAACCCATGACCCCCGTCTAAGCATGTGAAAAATATCAGATAGCTGAATTGAGGGGCAGTCTGCAAATACCTGGTCAGTACTCCTTAAAACTGTCCAGGTCAGTGGTTCCCAAACTTATTTGGCCTACCGCCCCCTTTCCAGAAAAAATATTACTCAGCCCCTGGAAATTAATTTTTTTTAAATTTTAATAACAGTTACTCATCGCCCCCAAATGCACCTGTGGCCATCACCGCCCCCCTGGATTGCTGCAGCGCCCACCAGGGGGCGGTAGCGCCCACTTTGGGAATCACTGGTCCAGGTCATGAACAACAAGGAAACATAAACTGCCACAGATCAGAGGAGACTAAGAAGACATGACGATTCGATGTAATGTGGTTTCCTGGATTGGATATTGGAACAGGGAAAGAATACTAATAGAAAAACTAGTGAAATTCTAATGAACTCTGGAGTTAATAGTTGGGTTTCTTAGTTGGGATAAATGTACCACAGTAATAACAATAAGAAAACTTGGTGCATGATATATAGGAACTCTTTGTAAATCTAAAACCATTCTCAAAAGGTTTTTCTTATAAATATGTAATATGTTTGGTAAATATAAAAGATTAGAGGATTACTAATCTCAAAGGAAATAGTTAGTGGCCATGTTGTGTATTAAACTATAGTTCATTTTCTTGTAGGGAATTAAATTTAAACGAATAGGTGTTCCTTCTGCAACAGAAATAATAAAAGCTTCCAGCAAAGATGCCATCAGGTATGTTCCCTGCCACTGCTGTGGGGATTGAGCTCGAAACTCAGGCGTGTGCCCTGACCGGGAATTGAACCAGCAACCTCTCAGTGCACAGGACAGTGCTCAGCCAACGGAGCCACACCCGCCAGGGCACGTGACATGGTTTTTAAAAAAATAGACAGGGGGCCCTGGCTGGTGTGGCTCAGTTGGTTAGAGTATCATCCCATATACTGAAAGGTCACAGGTTCAATCACTGAGGGTGCATATGGGAGGCAACCGATTGATGTTTCTTTCTTCCTCTCACTCTAAAATCAATAAAAAATATAAGCTGTGGCCAGTGTGGCTCAGTTGGTGGATTGTCATCTCCTATACCAAGAGGTGTGGTGGGTTCAATTTCTGGTCAGGGCTTGAGCAGGAGGCAGCTGATTGATGTTTCTCTCTCTCTCTTCCTCTCCCTGAAATCAATTTAAAAAAAAAATAAACAAGAGGAGTTCATGATAAAAAGAAATACTAGATATTAGCACATTAATAGCTGGGGGAAAGTTCTGCAAATGAAAAGAATTTAACTCAGCATTTTTCAAACGTATTTTTAGCATGTCTTTCTTTAAACATTCTGCAAACAGGGTTTCTTATGACACCAGTTAAGGAAATTTGGGGTGAGATGTCGGGAAGGAGAAAAGAGACCAAGATGGTGATGGTGGGGTATGGGAGATGGTCTTGAGCGCGGCAGGCCTGCCAAAAGAGGCTGCCTCACGTAGCCTATTCCTCCTTGTGGATGATCTCTTTCAAATTTGAGATGTGACATTTATTATCACCAAGATAAATGTATAGTCTCATAAAGGCATGTATCATTTTTAACTTGATTGGAGAGTCTATTTTTTTTCCTCTTTTATTTCAGAATGGAAATAGTTGAAGTATTTCCTGATTCTAAAAGTAACACATGCTTTATTGATGCACATTTTAAAATTGTTAAGTTTTTTTTTATAACACTGTGATGAACATCTTAATATCTTACTATTTTCTTAGGATAAGACATTTTGTTTTGGTGGTTAGAACTAGATAAAATCAAAGGAATGAATTTATTACCACAGAAATGTGATGATTACATGCTTTGCATCAAAATGATGTGTTAGACATATGAAAGGCCTCGTTAGGAAGTTACTAATTTAGCCCAGCTGGTGTTGCACAGTGGTTGAGCGTTGGCCCGTGAACCAGGGGGGTCACAGTTTGATTCCTGGTCAGGGCACATGCATGAGTTGCAGGCTCGATCCCCAGTACGAGGCTTGCAGAAGGCAGCCGATGGATGTTCTCTCATCGATGTTTCTATCTCTATCCCTCTCTCTAAAATCAATTATATATATTTGCTAATGGGCATAGGGATTCTTTTTAGGGTGATGAAACGTTATGGAATTTTAGATAGGTTTTATATATATATAGAAAGTTACTTGAGATGTCTTGAAAATGAAATCTGTCAGGCAGGTACAGGGTGGAGGGTGTCAATGGGGGAAAAAGGGAGACATCTGTAATACTTTTGACAACAAAGATTAAGAAAATGAAATCTGTCCACTTCTATCCTTCTAACGAATATATTCTCAATCACACTATAGGTTTTTGGATTCTGTTCCTCCCACTGCTATTAGTCACTTTAAGCAGTCAGCCGAGAAACTGATAGAGGAGAAGGGAGCCGTGGAAGCCCTGGCCGCAGCTCTGGCCCATATTTCAGGTGCCACATCTGTAGACCAGCGCTCCTTGATCAACTCAGAGGCGGTAAGGGTCCCCGTCAAATACCTGATGCTTTATGATTGGGAGTTGGAGCAGGATTTGAAAGTGTTCCCTTTAAACTTCCCAATTGTTTCATTGCTTCTTGGCCTTTTGGCTAAGATCCAGTGTAAACTTCCCAATTGTTTCAACTTTTTATTTATTTTATTTTTCAATTACAGTTAACATTCAATTTATTTTGTATTAGTTTCAGATGTACAGCATAGCAGTTAGACAGTCACATACTTCACAAAGTGTTCCCCCTAGTAATTCAAGTACCCATCTGGCATCATACATAGTTATTACAATGTTGTTGACGACCCTAGATGTTTTAACTTTTGCTTGAAGGCAGATGTATATAAACAAATCCATCGAGGCATAAAGCAGATTAGTGGTTGCCAGTGTCCCTGAAAAAGGAGGAAATGGCTGTGACTGCTAATGGGCATAGGGATTCTTTTTAGGGTGATGAAATGTTCTGGAATTTTAGATAGGTTGATGTTTGCAAATTTTGTGAACTTACTAAAAACCCCTGAATGGTACACTTTAAAATGGTGAATTTTGTGGTTATGTGAATTACATCTCAAAATTTTAAATTCCTTAAATACACACATACATAAATGTACATAATAAATTTGTCCAGTATACCTAGAAACTTTAGAAGGTATATACTTTTCGGTTTCTTCTTTTAAATTTTGAGGTACCTATATGTTCCCAGGTTGTTGTAAGAGATAATACAGTGAGATCCCTGTACACTTTGCCCAGTTTCTCCCAGTGTTAACAGTTTGCAAAACTATAATGCCACAATGGGGTTATTGACTTCGGCACAATCCACCAATCTCATTCAGGGTTCCTCAGTTTTACTTGTACTTATTTGTATGGTTGGTGGGGGGTGGAAGGCAGTATATCCTTTTAGGGAGAACTTTTCCAGAAATACTTTAGAAACATGAGGGCAGGTGTTTATCAGGTTTGTTCTTAAGACTTAAATTTTGTTCCCCTTTCCTCCATAGGGCTTTGTGACCATGATCTTGAAGTGCTCAATTGAAATGCCAAACATTAGTTATGCTTGGAAAGAACTTAAAGAGCAACTGGGTGAGGATATTGATTCCAAAGTGAAGGGAATGGTCTTTCTCAAGGGAAAGGAGGTAAGGAAGGCTGGGACTTCTGTTGTGACCTTGCTTTGGTTCAGTGGCTTTACGCGGCAATAAAGCACTGTGTGGGGGTTTCTCCCTGTTCTCGGGGAGGCTGCATATGTTCACTCTCTAGTTTTCTCTGGGCAGTGCCATCCATGACCCTCAGTTCCACTTAGTCACGGACACCTACCCCATCTGTGTATCTGTCCTGAACCGCCTGCCTCCAGTGCTGGACTTGAAGATCCAGCTGCTTCCCTGACATCTCCACTAAGATGGAGTTTATTATTAAGCAACTTAAAACAAATATTATAAATTCTTTAATTCACATTCAATATTTAAAATCTTGCCTTCCAAAAGTGGTGTTCTTTCTTCTGAGTCCTGCTCTCAGTTAATGACATAGATCAGCACAGCAATTCTCAAACATTTTGGTCTCATGACCCCTTTACATTCTTAATAAATGTTGGGGACACCGAAAAGCTTTTGTTCATATGGGTTATATCTAGTGCTATTTTCCATATTAAGTTAAAACGGGGACTCTAAAACAAGAATATCATGTTCAGTTAGTCCTCAGAGCAACATCATCACATGTCATGTGGGGTCTGGGAAACTCCACTGTACCCTTGTGACAGAATGAGAGTTAAAAGGGCAGGTAACATTTCAGTATTCTTATGAAAATAATGTTGACTTTGTGGAACCCCCTAAAGATCTCAGGTTTCCAGGGGTACATGGACTATACTTGGCCTGGTGAACCAAATGAGGTTTATTTTCAACTCATTTCATATCCGACCACATTGGTTATCTCTAACTCCACATTATGTGTGGGATGAAGTCCCAACTTTCCCATGGAGGATAAGATCCTCTATGAGCTGTCTCCTGCCCCCTTACCACCTTCATCTCTGCCTCCTCACCACCAGCACCCTCCTCTACTCCAGCAGTGCCAAGTACGCCTTGTTTTTTCTCATCCTACATGCATGCTGAACCCACTATAATATTTCTTTCTTCATGGTGTCCTTTGTGACTTGGCTTAGCTCTAAGTCTCCCTGTGAAGCTTTCCCTGGCCATACAGCAGAGTTGGGGGCATCTCTATCTGTCCTGCAGAGTTCTTAGGGCATACCTTTATTCAGGTAAATTTTACTTGCTGTGCTTGCTGGCTGAGAGCCTCAAGAACAATATAATATACTCAAGGGCAAAGACTGTTTTCTAGTTCTATCTATACCCAGTGAGAGCCTGTCATTGAATACTTAGTAAACATGTAAATGAACATTCCCACAAATGGCAAAATCCATCAGTACCTGATGCTACCTGTGATTATACCTGGGTAAATTGTTGGGTAGAAGGGCTGTTCCTCATAAAAGGTTGCAGTCACAACCAGCCAGTGGGGAGGGGTGCCTGTGTCAGTTGCAGGGGTAGTTTGGATCTAGTATAAAAAATGGGCACCAAGGAACAGGACTTAATTGGAGATAATGTCTGCTTATTATCAAATAAAGTGTCCTGAATTTAATTTTTTAGAAAACTTCATGGGAGGCTGAATTGTAAAAAACTAGATTAACCATAGGTCATTTATTTTTCTGCTTTAGTTCGGCCATCTTGAATAGTTGACACTCTTTCTGATGAAAGGCAGTGTTTTAGACCAGTGATTCCCAAAGTGGGCGCTACCGCCCCCCGGTGGGCACTGCAGCGATCCAGGGGGGCGGTGATGGCCACAGGTGCATTTGGGGGCGATGAGTAACTGCTATTAAAATTTTAAAAAATTTAATTTCCAGGGGCTGAGCAATATTTTTTCTGGAAAGGGGGCGGTAGGCCAAATAAGTTTGGGAACCACTGTTTTAGAGCCATACTGACCAGAGTTCTCAAACCTACTCTACTTACCAGCTGTGGGGCGCTAGGCCAGTCAGTTAGCCTATCCAGTCTTCTGTTTCCTCAGCCATAAATGTAGCTAATAGTTACTTGAGGATGAGCACAGTGCGATAGCCAAGAATGACCTCTACTCAGTTCTAAATAGTTTTTGAGTCATATATATATATATATATCTCCTTAGCTTTTTGCTATTGTGCTTTGGGAGGTACAGTGTGTTGGTCTTGGTCTAAAGTTTACCTTAAATTAATACTTTTTTTTGACTCGATAATGACAAATTTATTACTTTCCATGGCTTCATTTCTGTGGACACTTAAAAGAAAAAAGTCTAGTACACTCCAAACTATGCATTTAATTTTTTTTCAAGCATTTAAAATATCTTGCTTAGGTACATAATATTTATCCCTTTCAGAGTTCTCTTGTCCATTATTATCTTAGTAAATAACAAAGAAGAAATATGAAAAGCTATAAAGAGATAATAAAAATAAAGGACACAAGAAGCATTTCAGAACATTATTGATGGCAAAAAAGAGGCCATTTATAAACAGTATTTGCTGGTTATACAATTTTTAAATATCTTAATGCGAAATGTGATATTCCTTTTTTTAAAACACCTTCTTTTTAAAAAAAACAATACCTGGTCATTCGGTGTATTACTTAATGTGCATTTTATGATTCGGGTCAAAGGCTGGATTAACTGCTTTTGTTTTGATTTCTAGGGTGTTTGCTTTGATGTCCGTACTGAAGCAGTCACAGGAATACAGGTATTCTTTTTCTTGATTTTGAAGTTAACATCTAAATTGTAGAATGCTTGTTATTGAAAATACAGAATAATAGAAAGGAAACAATAGCTCTAGGCCCTTCACTAAAAGGCAATTAAGAATTTTAGGATTTTTCTCTCCTAACATTTTATTCTGATATATTTTCTTGGTCAGCCTGCTTGTTTTTTTTTCCTACAGAGTATATCCAGACTCCCCTATATATGTTACATGAGGTTTACATAAACTTTTTAAATTGCTATATCTTTCTTTATTCACTCCTGCTGTGAGAAACATGTTTGTACAAGGTATATTTATGTTTTACTGCCTGAGAGCTTTGGATACCTATAGTAATTGAATTGAATAAATGATACTGTGATGATGCTATACTATGAGGCTACTTCTCTCTCTTTTTAAAAAATATATTTTTATTGATTTCAGAGAGAAAGGAGAGAGGGAGAAAGATAGAGACATCAATGATGAGAGAGAATCGTTGATCAGCTGCCTCCTGGGGATCAGCCCGCAATCTGGGCATGTGCCTTGATGGGGCATCGAACCATTACCTCCCGGTTCTTTGGTTGCTGCTCAACCACTGAGCCTTGCTGGCCAGGCTATGAGGGTACTTTTTATAGTGAAAGTTATTTTTCCACCCTTCAGTGACTCTGGCTTTTGGGCCATGAAGGTTAGTATTTTTGATGAGTGACCTTTTACACACTTAGGTTATCAGTCTAGTTTTTCTCTTTGAGAAAGGGCAAAAAATGTCTTTCTCGTGTCTTTTTAAACCAAATTCAGTAAAAATAAAAGAGGAAAAAACAAAAGCATCTCTCAACAGGAAAAATGGCATGATTCCCGGCGCTGGCAACTCTCTGTGGCCACGGAGCAACCGGAGCTGGAAGGACCGCGGGAAGGATTCCGAAGCTTCAGGGGACAGCGGGAAGGCAATCGAGGCTTTAGGGGACAGCGGGATGGAAGCAGAAACTTCAGGGGACAGCGGGACGGAAATAGAAACTTCAGGGGACAGCGATCAGGCGGTGGCAACAGAAATAACAGATTCCAGAACAAAGGCCAGAAACGGAGTTTCAGTAAAGCATTTGGTTAGTAATTGAAGTAGACGATTTATATGGCAAAACAGAACTATGTTTGGCAACATGGAACTGAACTTTTTTTTCCCATGCAAAGTTAAAAGCACATTGTGTTTCCTTCCTGACCACTTGCCCTGGCCCATCTCTTCCAGAGAGATAAGCTTCATGTAAATCACTTCATCTGATGTCATTTATAACTTTATTGCTACTTCTGTATCAGGTTTTCCTTTTGAAAAAGTATATGAATTCATTGCATTTTTATTCTAATGCATTTTTTATATAAGATAAAGTCAAGGATGTATCTGCCCATACTTTTAAGTTGACCAGTCTTTATACTTTAAAGCAGTGGTTCTCAACCTTCCTAATGCCGCGACCCTTTAATACAGTTCCTCATGTTGTGGTGACCCCCAAATTCATTGTTACAAATTGAACATAATTAAAGCATAGTGATTAATCACAAAAACTATAAGTAATTATATATGTGTTTTCCGATGGTCTTAGGCGACCCCTGTGAAAGGGTCATTCGACCCCCAAAGGGGTCGCGACCCACAGGTTGAGAACCGCTGCTTTAAAGTATCTCTGAATAGTGTTCTTCCCTAAGTACCTATGCAGAATGCAACAGTCTCTGAGAAGCGCTTTCTTCTGTAATTGGCATTCTTCAGCCACTTCCTAATGATTCCTCCTGTGATCCTATAACACGTCTTCTGAGAATTAACACAGCGATGTTTTGAAGCAAGATTTCAAACTGAGCTTGGATGTAATAGTGTTTATGCCAGCCTATGCTATAGATTTGGAGGATAGTGATACATATGATAGGAGACAGTATGTAGATTAGCCATCATTTTGTGCACTTTGATACATTTTTAGCTTCTCAATATAGAGTGATTTGTGCTTCAGTGAATTCTTCATAGATTTTATACATCTATATATCTCTATATATAACAAAATGTTTTTAATAGAGAGCAAGTGTCTCTAAGGAATTCTAAATGTATGAGATGGCTCCATAACTTTCTTCATAAGTAAGGAGGTTGGATATATGGGGCTTGATGACAATGTATTACACTTCCTATTTACCAAGAAGGAGTTAAGGGAATAGGGGGCAGAGATTTGCATTGCTGAAAAATCAAAACAAAGCCACTGAAAATACTTTTCATATGCAAGAAGGAAATATCTGTTAAGAGTAAAGAGAAGAGTAAGTGAAGATAAAGTATCTTTAATTGGTAGAACCTTAATGGGTCATTAATGTTTCTGGCGGTTAATGTCTAATGGGCAAACTGGAATTTTTAGGTAGAATGATCTGGTTTAGTTTCTCAAAAAAGCCTATTCCTATAGCGACAGTATAGGAATCTTTATTAAACTGCTACTCCATTGGGAGGTTTTAAAGACAGGCTATGTGATTATTTTAAGTTGTTGCTTTGAGGGAATTGGAGAACTTGACATAGCCTCTGGCCAGATAGTTAACTGAGTTCTCAAATATTACTTCTCTGAGAAACCTTCTGCATGGTCCAGGAGCTTAAGAATGGCATTGTCTTCTCGCCTTAATTCCTAGAAAATCTGTACTGGGAATCTCAGGGAATAAACTATGATGGGAGAAGTTAAACTACATGGCCTATCTTGTTTTCTTTTAATTATTTTGAATAACTGAACTCTTTCTAAGACCTGGTTTTTCTCACTTAGTAGTGTCTTTGTATCTAACTGCCTTTTACTTGATCACTTTGCAATAAGGGGCTCAGATAGCCAACTCACCCCTGATTCTCCAGGCTATGTCCTTTTTCTATTTGGGCTTCAGTTCCCTCTTTGAATCCTGACCGGATGTTTCTCAGTTCTCAGAAATTCTCTTGGCTTTTATTTCTTGATCCACTTGTCAGTGTTACCACTTTTCCTCCTGTTCCTTGTGGCTACCTGTCAAGCCACAGGAATTTAGGGGAAGGTGTTTGGTGACAGAACTCACGTGCCTTGTGGATTATAATTAATAAGAAATAAAACATTTCATAGTTTAGATAGAAACGGGTACTTTATCAAGCAGATTAAAAGGACATAGTACTTGTCCTTTATTAAAACCTTGATGTGGATTAGCCTAAAGAAAAATAATCAGACCTAAATCAAGAATAAGGGGAAAATTATTGGATATTTCACTTTATACAATTTTAAGGAAAGCATGGCTATGGCTGTTTCAGTAAATGAAACTAAAGTCTCTTCTGGATCCTAGAATTCAAACTATATTTATAAATGTATAATTCAGCTACTGCTCGGTTGAAATGGGCTTTTGCGCTAGCCTGGGGAATGTTACCACTTTTACTATTTTCTACAGAGAAAATATTTTCCAATTTATGAACTCAATGAACTTTTAAAAGCCAGCCCATTTTTACATTGGTGTTATCTATGCAGTGGTTTCTTTACAATTGTACATAAAATGTTTTTACTATAAAATTGCGTTAATGTATAAAATCTTGCTTTATGCCATAATAAAGGTATTAGTACTTTTTTTATGTTTTTGGTGACTTTTTTCCTGAAATTGAAAATAGCTTGAAATTTTTATTTTAAAAATAAATGGTGCATATAAAAGTTCAAACATAGAAGAAGAAAAAACCTAACAGTCACCTCATATCTAACATTTTTGTGAGCATCTCTTCCAGGAATTCATGTACAAAATTGGAACCATTTTCATTCAGTTTTGTGAGTTGCTCTCCCTGCCTCAACATGTAGTGCACACTTCAGAAAGTATAGATGTATGACATTTTGAGACTACATAGTATCTCACTGTATATTTAGATGGCCATGTTGGTTATTTGTAAGTTTTCCCTATTGTACACAACCCTAAAATAAGTGCCCTCGTGTAAATCTTTGCCTACTTGCCTGATTGTCAGTTTAGGACAAATCTTCTAAAAGAATTTCGGGTCAAAGTGAATGTGTATTAAGCTCTGGTGCAAGTTGCTCGTCGATGTGGTACCAGTTTACAGTTCCACCCTGCAACGAATGAGAACCTGTTTCCCCACAGCAAGGGGGCCCTGGATTTTGGCTTCCTTTTGTCAGTTTGCTAGGTACAAAATGATATCATTTTTATTTTAATCTTTTAATTGAGTGAGGGGTGATATCTCCTATTTATTGACAATTAGCATTAAAAAATTACCCTATATATTTGTCTTTTTTTCTACTGGGGTCTGCCTCTTGTTGATAAATTCTTTGTTTATTAGTAGTGATTGTATGTAGCAAATACTCTTGAAAATTTTTTTGTCTTTTAATTGTGTGGGATGTTTTGACAAAGTTTTTATGCAGTTGTAACTATCAATCTTTTATCATTTCTGGCTGTCTTATGCTTAGAAAAGTATTCCCCACCTCCAAGGTTATACTAGTAAAAGTTTCATTTATTTTCTTCTAGAACTCTAACTTGATCTTTACACTAAATCCCAGATTAATTATAGACTGAAAAATTGATTTTTAAAAAAAATATAGTTTTCTTACTGATTTCAGAGAGGAAGGGAGAGGGAGAGAGATATAGAAACATCAGTGATCACAGAGAATCATTGATTGGCTGCCTCCTGCTTGCCCCACACTGGCGATCAAGCCTACAACCTGGGCATGTGCCCTGACTGGGAATCAAACTGTGACATGGTTCATAGGTAGACGCTCAACCACTCAGCTATGTCAGCATGGCTCTCATTGATGTTTTATCTCTCCCTTCCTCTCTCTCTAAAAACCAATGAAAACATATTTTCCTAAAATGTATTCAAATAGTACAGAGTTTTGTATACTCTCCACTTAGTTTCTACCAATGTTAATATTTTTAAGAAAATATATATTTTATTGATTTTTTACAGAGAGGAAGGGAGAGGGATAGAGAGTTAGAAACATCCATGAGAGAGAAACATCGATCAGCTGCCTCCTGCACACCTCCTACTGGGGATGTGCCTGCAACCAAGGTACATGCCCTTGACCGGCATCGAACCTGGGACCTTTCAGTCCACAGGCCGACGCTCTATCCACTGAGCCAAACCGGTTAGGGCCCAATGTTAATATTTTATATAATCATAGTACAATGATCAAAACCAGGATATTAAGATGAAGGGTGTCATTCTATAGGTACTGCTTTGCATTTTGCTTTTTTTCCTTAACAGAATACCCTGGAATCACTCCACATGGGTTCATAGAAACCTTATTCTATGCATCATACTCCATTGTGTGGGTATAACATAGTTTATTCAAACTTTTTCTTATTTCTTATGTAAGAGCACATAGGTTTCCTATAATTTGCAGTTACAAACAATGCTGCAGTGAGGAATCTTGTCTGTGTTTCATACTGTTGGAGGTGTATCTTCAGGGTAGATTCCTAGAAGTGGGATGGCTTGGTTAAAAGGTAAGTGCATATGTAGTATTTTTATTTATTGACAAATTCCCCTATAGGAGGGGATTTTTTTCCTTGCAATTTAGTTTTTGAAGAAGCCAAGCCATTTGTTTTTCATTGTTACTGTTGATTATTTATAAATTTATAGATGTTGTGTGTGTGTGTGTGTTTTAATTTAAATTCTTTATTGTTGAAGTTACATGTCTCCTTTTCCCCCATTGACCTCTCCCGGCTGCTCCCACCCTCCTACTCTCTGTGTCCATTGGTTATGCTTATATGCATGCATACAAGTCCTTTGATTTATCACTAAATTTGTAGGTTTTAACATGTGATATACTTTAACCTATCGCAGTTATTTCATGCTCAAATTGTCCATCCCCCCCTTTGAACAGCAAGCGCCTACTCCTCCTCTCCCCAGGATGGTGATTTATTTGCATAGTTTTTGTTTATTCAAGACCCTAGATCGGCTGAAGCAGTCCCTCCAGTAATTGCCCCTCCAGAGGCCGTGACAATAGGTCTTCTGTGGAGGGAAATGCTGGGAGAGCGGTCAGCTTTAGTAAAGGCAGCTCAGAGAAAGCGGGAGTTGAGGGGCCGGCTGCCAAGATTTTAATAAATTGCTTCAGATATTCTCTCTTGTGGACAAGAGCCTCTTTTATTGCAAAAATGAATTTTAATGTTTATCTTGAGTTTGTTTAAACATTGCTTTTAGTATGATGCCGACACCAGCTGTGCAGAATGGGCTCTGGAGAGATGTTTTATGAACATAGCAACACACACCTGCAGCTCTTCTGTTCTGGGGGCTCCAGGGCGGCCAGTTTGCTTCGTCAAATACGTTCTTTAGGCCTTTCTGTGTGAGTGCAGAATGTTCCACATATTTGACGGCCTTCAGGTCACGGGGCAGCTTTTCAGCAGTCTGGAATGATAGGCTTTTGTTTGTTCTTGGCAACTTTCTCAATAGTAGAGGGGTCATCTCAGATCAATTTGGGTCCCAACAAGCAAGGAAGGAGTCTATGGACAGTAGTGAGTTATTTCAGGCACCCACTTTTCTTTAATGTTTTCAAATGAGGATGGAGAGACCACTGAAAAACAGACCTAGAAATACATCTGCTTGTGGATAACTCAGCAGTCAAAATCTTGTCATATTCTCTTGCCCTGCTGTATCAAAAAGTCTAAGAGTATATGGCTTTCCACCAATCACAATTGTGACTACATAGTTGTCAAAAACAGTTGGTACATAGTCAGATGGAAATTTGCTTATTGTGTAGGATATTAGGAGACATGTTCTACCAATGGCACCATTGCCCACAATAATGCACTTAATTGCATTGCTGAAACAGTTTTCTACCCAATTTAAATATTTCAAGTGTGATGATGACCTCAGCTTCTCTGCCAGGGTGTTGGCAGCACTGCCCAGGAACCTCTTTTTAAGTTGGCACCTTTTCAATTCTTTTGAACTAACCCTTCTAGTCTTTGATGGTTTCTTTGATTTCTCGTGTGACAAGATAGCCAGGCTCATCCTGTCCCAGAACCAGAATTAGCATTTTTTTTTTTTTGAAGGAACCGGTTTTCCTTATAATTTAGGTAATGCTGTTTAGGGCTTACAGTCTGGGAAATAAGACTTATGTCTTACATTCTTATTATTTTTATTTCACTAAAATGGTTAAATTTATGCTAGATTTTTGTTGATGTTACTATTATGAAAGTGATCTTTTTCTCCATTGCATCTTTCCTCCAATGAAAGGTTGTTGATTTTTATACCTTTATTTGTGACCCGCCTGTTTACTAAACTTTTTTTTACTTTTTCTGTTTAGTTGTTTTACTTTGCTTTTTCAGGAAGACAATCAATCATACCTTCTAAAAAATGATCATTTTTCCATCTTCCCAAACATTATACTTCTTATTTGTTCAAAAGAATGTCCAATTGCATTTTCCGGCACTTTAAGATCAATATTATATACTACAGATGATGGTTACCCTGCTCTTATTAATGAGTTTTCCATTAAGTTGGCTCCCCGGTGTAAAGACAAATTAGTGCTCTTCTTAGTATCTTATTTTTACTGGAATGAAAATAATTGATAGACATTAGCTGTGCTCTGACCAAACAAGTTAACTCCCTTTCATCACAACATGCCTTATACTTTCCCCTCTCTTCTAATTATCATCCATGAGCTTGATCTTGGGTCACTGCATTGATCTGTATACCACTCATTGGACAAATTCCACAGGGACTGCTTTATGACATCTCACAGGGAACATCCCATGACCTTCAGTACTCAAAATACTGGTGTAAAAAGAAGGCCAAGAGAGGAAATATTGTCAGCTAGAACTCTTCCATCTCAAGTTTCCTAGTCTGATGTCTTTGCTTATTAGGTGTGTGTCTGTGTAAGGATTTTTCAGAAATCTCTATTTTATTTTTCACCTGGCTGTTCTACCAGCTAGATCTTTAGAGGTCAGCACCATGTGTCATGGTGGTTTATTTATTGAGCTCCTACTAGGAGACAGTATAGCATAATAATTAAAAGTGCTCTCCCCCTTCCCCTCAGTCTGCCCTGAATTTGACTGGCTAGTTTAGGAAGGTGTGTAGTGGAAAAAGTGTCTGAGGCGCCTTGCCACAGCTCTGGGATTTAACTCGTGTTTCTTTGGGAAGTTGTGCACATCCCTACAACCTGCATTTCAGGGTTGAAGTGCTTTTTACATTCATAGCTTACACTCATCAGGCTATATAGTAATAATAACCCGACCCTTGTTATATTTTTATCGTGATGGACTAAGTTACACACTAATGCCAAAAGAGTTATGCCTTTCGGCTTATACCAATTAACAAGAGTAGTTAGCAGATATGTTTGTTAACAATATTTCCATATGTTATATTAAAGTCAGCCGGTAGTTTTATATCGATATAACTTTACCGGGCCAAGCGAGAGATGAATTCACCATTACGGAGGGCGGGGCTGGGAGGTGGGGCCATCCTCTTTGGCAGCTTCGTTTCCATGACAACGGTTGCTACGGTAATCACTGCGCCTTCCCATTGGTCACTGCTGAGCATATTGCGGTTCCCTTGGCGGACCTCATTGGTCATAGTGATGCAGTGCCCGGACCTATCAGGGGCCGTAAGTGAAGTGTCGTAAAGCAGAAAGGAAGGCGGGAGTCCGGATTGGAAACATTAGGGAAACCTGAGCAGCGGAGGCCGCTATGGCGAACGGCGCGTGGGCCGAGATTCGTGAGAAATTCCAGGCCGCGCTGGCTCTGTCGCGGGTAGAACTGCATAAAAACCCCGAGAAGGAGCCGTACAAGTCCAAGTACGGCGCCCGAGTTCTGCTGGAGGAGGTCAGAGCGCTGCTGGGCCCCGCGCCCGAGGACGAGGACGAGGACGAGCGGCCTCAGGCCGAGG